GGATAAAAAAGAGCAGAGGGCGAAAGATACGCAAAATTGATTAGCGAATAAACGAGATAAATGAGTTGGGGTGAACACAAGCGTGGCCTTCGGGTAGTGAAAACAGCAATAAGTGGCGTCACGTTGTTCCGGCTAAAGAAACGATTCGCGATAGGTGTACACCAGGGGTGTCAAACTCAGAAGCTAACTTGGGCCAAATAAACAATGCTTAACTTTAGGTGGGCCGCAAACAAAAAAATCAATGTTCATAGAAACAAATATTTTTATTTTGACTAGTACATTGTAATAAACATATATAAAGTTAAATTAAACGTCCTGATACTGGACATCAAAAATGTTCATCTCGGGCCGCATGCGGGCCCCGGGCCGCGAGTTTGACACGCCTGGTGTACACGGTAGCTGTGAACGCGACAAGTCGCGAGAGAAACGTGTCTCCGGCGATGATCTAAATGAATATATACTTGAACATCGAAGATGAATATTTATAATGCGAGCTGTAAAATTGCAGCTGTTATTTTTCACTTGGCACATTCTTTATTACTCCCGGCCCACCTTTTGTACGCGCGCGGACCGTGGTAAATTACTTACGGAAGGAAATTAAAAGGTTTTTTATGTAATTATGAAATACGAATACCTGTCCGACAGCGTTAAATTCCTGGGTTTCGCGCTTGCGTAGAAATTATTAGATAACGGCGTTAAATAAAGCGCCGCGATGCCGGATAAATGCAAATTCAGTTTATCTGTAACGGCTTATTGCGTTCTTTATTTCCGTCGGCGTCCGAGTTTCCTCCAATAACAATTTCCCCATCATTAAACCGTAAATCGCGGATGCTCCCGGCGAAAATCCAAAATTCTCCTTCTGCTAATGTTGAAAAATTCAACGCGATTTATTTCCCTGTTGTTACTACCGATTTACATAATTCGCGACGGAACAAGAATTTGCGCGGAGAGAACGCGAATTTCAATCGTTTCTACCGAAAACGAGCGACCAGAATTATAAAAGCTTCCCGTTTCTTTCTATACAGGGTGCCCGAAGAATATTCTGAATACATTTACGGTATGGAAAAAATGACTCCGATCGTTTTCAGGAATCGCGATTCGATCTAGCGGTTGAACATTTCTGGGGCGCCCTGGTGTCACGTGTGTCATAAAAGAAAAATGTTTGACGGAAAGAAATAAAAGGAAAAGAACCGAATAATGTGCTTTCGTTTCAGTTCGCACCGGAAGGAAATTCCCGGCGAAACAAAATTGGAACGAACGCGTGCGATTCAAATCAAAGTTCTGGCGCGGCGTTTCTGGCGAAGCGACAAAAGAAAAGCCTGTCGTCAAATTAAAAGTAGAAACGGTTGCGAAACAGCGACGTTAAACAGTTCGTTTCCCGGCCGATTGTATATTATTTAACGTGAAAGGGCGAGCGAACAGGTGCGGCAGAACGGTGGCGCGCGCGGACATTTTCAAAAGCGGCGACCATTTTTTTGTTTGTTTGTTTCTGTTTCGCCGTGCACTTTTTTCCGCGCGGATAAACTTTACGACCAGAAAACAATGCTGAACGTATCACGTAAGAATTACAATAAAATCGCGTAAAAATCCGAACAATAGAATTTTATGGAGCGATTCCGGGGTGGATACGTGGGCGCCATGCGAAAACAGAGGAGCGAGAGAGGGAGGACAAGGGTAAAAAACAACAACACGGGGGAGAAACAATCGCGGCAGATAGCTACAAGCTAATGCGAACAATTCTTTCGCCGATACTGCCGCCGCGCCGCGTTCTCGCTCGATTTATCTGGACTGTTTGCATTCGCGCCGTTTTATGAACCGTAAAATCGCCGTTGCTCCTCTGCCGGCCGAGAAACTTTAACCGGCCAATTAACGCGACAAGTAGCGATCGACCGCAAAAAATAAGTGACCCTCCCGAATCGACAGCTCAATCAGCTTCCCCCATTGGCAAATAATAGCGCGTTCCGCGGACGACGCTCTCCTCGCCGGAATTAATACGTTCGTTACGTTTGAATCGGACGGGGCAAAAGGGCTCGCGGAACTTTCATAGGGCGCGAATGTTATTACTGGACTGTGAATATTACAGAGCGTCGCGACAACACGCGGTCACCTTTTGAAGCGCGATACATTTTGCAAAATTGATTCGAATAACTTACGTTTTCTTGAGACGCTGTGATCCGATCGGTTTACTGGACAATAGCAAAATGTTTGCGTAAATCGCGATTAGGGTGAACGACGTGGCAATTAGGAAACCATGTTTTAGTTGAGCCTAGAAGGAGAAATCTATCCGAAAAGTAGATAATTTTTTAATTTTTTTATCATTCCAGACGATTACAGTTGTTTCAAAATTTTGTCACCGATTTTACAATCTCGAAAACATTCGAATCAATTTGGTTCAATTTTGAAAAAAATCATTTCGTCTTAAAGGACGTCCGTATATTGGATTTGCGACAAAAGTTAATAGGGAAAGTAATAATTTTCAAATATTCCTATACTGCACTGTACAATCGTTCTTTTTCACGATCGTCCTCAATTTTTGAGGAATTTAATTAACCTGGGAAATTAAATTTTATTTCACTGAAGGCTTGTTATACGTGAGCTGGAAAATTGCATTTTGCGGGAGGATAAAGTCGTACGAAGACGGCGGGAAATTAAGAATGCAATAATCACGTCTGGCAGTCTGAACAGTATGCAAGATAGTATTGGCAATCCCAGTTTCTTGCGACGGTGTAATCTCATCTTCTCTAATTTTCTTTAATTCGATACCCTGTACGGTAGCGTAATCGGCATCCGGTTACGGTAGATATAAAATTTCCATTCGAATATTTCTTTGAAAGTTAACGTCGTGAAACAACTTCTGAAACTATTATCCGCGCCGCTTTTAATTGCATCATTTAAACGCGTTACTTCAATTACGTCTCGATCTAATAAATTCTTCGATGCAGCGCTATTAAGCTGATTCTTCGTATAATTCGATGCGATGAGTCGCCTATTATCTTCCTTTAATCCACATCCACGCGATTGACAGTTCTATAACCTGAAATAAACCGTGTCCAGCATAAAGCCGTTTCATAGAAGCATTAACTTACTTCCTGAAAGTGCATATATAGGATAACTATGCACTGTCCGTCTACTACTTACCATTTCCACTAATCATAAACCCATCCTGTCGCGCGTTCATACTCTTTTCCACTTAACCTCGCTACGTTCCAAGGTTTTAAACATTGCAAGCTACATCACGTTGCTACAATAAGGAGATAACTCCGTGCCAATGGTACGGAGGGGTTGAACCATACAGGGTGAACCACGCAAATCAAGTAGTATTGAGATAATTATAAAATTTTTAGATTTTGCTGTAGAACAAATTTATTGGTAAAATATACTTTGTAAGTGCATAGCATTTCATTATTATTGGCGTTCGGAAAATGAAATCTGGCATGTGACGATCATTTCTGTAAATACAAGATTGTGTCACGCGAGGGCACAAAGTCATTTCGATGAACATTAAATTTATGACGAAACGCGCGTTGAACTGCGGACACCGATTGGTTATTTTTATCATGGCATCATGGTGGTAATTGTTAGTGAAATACTGTGAGCCAAGGGATGCAACATCACCCAGCGCGCGCTTCTACTTTATACAGAGTGTCCCATAATTATGTTAACACCCAGGACGGGCTGGTTTCTGAGATCATTTGAAGCAACTTTTTCCTTAGCGAAAATGCAATCCGCGGTTTCGTTTGCGAGTTATTAACAAAAAACTGCGACCAATGAGACGCGAGATCAGCGCAAGGCGGCCGAGCCAATGAGCGGAACCGGGTTTCGTACGGTCGTTGGCTGGGCCGTCACGTGCCAACCGAGCTCGGTTCTCATTGGTCATCATTTTTCGTTAATAACTCGTAAACGAAGCCGCGGATTACATTTTCGCTAAGGAAAAAGTTGCTTCAAATAACCTCAGGAACCCTCCATTTCCAAATTACGAGACATTTTCGGGACGTTCTGTATAACGAGATAGTAATACCCCTTTCAAAATAAATAAATAAATAAATAAATAATACCCCTTCCCTGTAGTTATAATCATCCAAGCCGAGACCTGTGCAAAAACCTTGAACCAGGACAAATAAAATTAGCGAACATCCTAGCGCCGGTGCGACGCATCCTAGTACAACAAAACCGAGTCCCAACAAACGGTAAAACCGGAGCGGCGTAATTTAATAATTCTTTCGCGCGGATCGCGATTACATTCCATCAGATGAATGCATTAAAACCGCGCGGCTCCTGTCGTGAATTCATAAAGCCGGGATCGTTTAAAAAATCGAATCACGCTTGGTCACGGGCAGTCGGAATGAAAAACCATTAATTACTATTTCCCGGTGTTCTGAATAATTCGACCGACATTTGCGGATCCATTGTGAGATCCTAGTCGGACCAATGCCTGGCGAGGGCGTGGAAGGGGGGGGGGGCGCGGAAGAAAAGGAAATATACGCCGCGATCGATTCCGCTTCGGCCGCGTCGCGGCGGAATCAATGAGACGAAAATTGAATTTCAAGTCCCATAAAAAATGGTGACGCCGATAAAGCCGCGAAAGAAGGTCGAACCTCGACGGCGATCCTTCAGGAATAATAAACGGTGCGCCGTTTAAGGTCAACCTTTTTTCCCCCCCGTTTCCGAGGGGCTGCTGCTCCAGCATGCAGCAGGCAGCCAGGGAAATTTGTCATAAATCCGGAATAAGTTCCATCCGAGTTTCGAATGCATACGGAACACTTGGGGGAACGCCGGGAGGAGGGCAAGAAAAAAAGCCGTCTTCCAGTATCCCCGGCACCGGGTTTCCCGCAGAACGGGTTTCGCGAGGAGAGTTTCTTCCATCCTCCCCCCCCCCTCTCCCCCTCCCTTCGCCGTCCTCCGGCCCAGAAAAATCAGAGACACGAGACAATAGAAGACGAGCGGGATGCATACGAATTCGTGGTTTATAACCGAGAACCTTTCTGTTTCTCTTTTTCCAGGAGGACACGAAACCTCGCAAGGATGCGGGACCGGCTATCGTGGTACATGGTCTTCCTGATCCTGCCGACAATTCTTCTGGCCAGGTCGCTCGATAAAGGTAAATAATCTTCTCGGGACATTTAACCTGTCCCCCTTATTCTCTGTTCCCCGGCCAGGATATCAGTTTTTCTTCGAACCTCTTTCAGCTATCTCTCTCTCTCTCTCTCTCTCTCTCTCTCTCTCTCGCTCTCCATTCCTCCGTCTTTCTCTTCCTCTCTACCCGCTCCCCTGTTTCCTTGACACAATTCCCGGACCTCCCATTCTATTTCGAAAAATGGCCCAGCCTTCGAATATCATACGGTACACCGTGTTCACGATTTAATCAATAATTCTTCGATCCTGCGCGCGATATTGTAATACAGGCTGCTCGGAGAGGAGCTCGCTGCCGCTGTAAATTTTGCTTCGCCTGCGCGGCTCGTTTTTTGGATAGCGAGGCTCTGCTCTGCGTCGATGACTGTGTTTCGCGGGTTTCCTTCATTTTCTCGCGGAATTATTTAGGCGCTGGTGAAACAGGTTGTTCGATTTTCGAGAGAATCGCTTACTCTGTTTCAGAAATTTATGGCAGTCGATCGGTGAATCTTTTTCTAAGATTTAGATGTACTCGTGACAAAAAAGAAGGAAATATTTTCAAAGAAATATCGATGAAAGTTTTTATGCGCAAAGAGAACGATGATTTAGTGAGGAGTATGTTTGCTTTTTTGTTTAGAAAGTACGGAATGAGATTTGTCACTGATTCGAGAAAATATGAAACCGTTTCTATATGTAGTTCTATATGTAGTTTATTTATTGGACGATCTGTACCATCATTTTTGTCACCGGAAGTATTAAGAAGAGTTTTAATGCTTTGTCATAATACTGAAACATTTCAACGATTCCCATTTGTCATATTACCCCATAGAAATGTTTTATTAACTCTTCCATCATATTTGCTTAATGTACGTACAATAGTATTTTTCATTTTCAATGTACGCTATCAAGTGACTCTTTTAGCCATCATATCAACAATTTCGATGGAATATTCTCTGGCCAGAGTTGCATTTGTTAAACAACATATGCATAATGTAGGAAGAATATAAAAGGCTTCAATAACGTTCGCTGCGAATGAACAGGTTCTACTGATTCGCCGAAAGTAATTTGTTCAATCAATTTCGCAGTCGTTATTTTCAGTCGTTATTTTTGATTCTTTCATTAAAAAATCCATTTGAGAATTCAAAAGATTGGAAGTTTTTTCATTTGAAAACTCTCTTTCACGGAGTGGCATTGACACAGAAATCTCACGAAACGTGTCACAAGTGCTTTTTTACCATAGTGTTCGTTCGCCAATGAAATTCGAACACCATAATCACGCGCATAGTACATGGATACATGGTATCCATCGATGTTCATTCTTAATTTTCTTCTACAGTCGGTACAGCTAGCATCGAATGTCGTGCATTGTTTCAAAATTTCACGCTGAACAGTCCTAAATCTGAAACAAAAAAAACTGGCAACCAAATAACCAAAGTCTAGCTTTCTTTAAAGTGTCATAAACCGAATAAATGATGAAAATTTATTTGCAAGATAAAATTGTGCTGGCGGCGATAGGGTTTAATCCTTTGCAGTCGAAGCTATTTTAATTCTAAATCCAAAAGACGTTTTCTGAACTGCAGTATTTCCACTTTATACGATTCAATGCAGCTTATGCATCCGAAATTGTGACTATTATATATAACATTAATATATATATATATATATATATATATATATATATATATATATATATATATATATTATTTATATACATATATAATAATATATATAATAATTTATATACATATATATATATATATATATATATATATATGTATATAAATTATTACAATATATATAACAATACTTGCAGTTTTAACAGCTTTTTCTGAAATATAACAAATCCGGCGCTATTACAATTATTTCGAAAAATGGCATAACAATTGGCGCCTCGGACCCGCCACTCGAGTGCAAAGGGTTAAGCTCCGACTCGACCCTTATTTCCGCGGATGAAAAAACAGGGAACCCCACAAACTGAAATCAGGTGGCCGTAATCACGCTGAGCAGGGGCGTCGGATACCGCTTTTATTTGGCGGGCGCAATAAATAAACGTCATTGTGCGCTGCAACGAGAGACACAAGATCCTCCAAGTAGCGAGGGAAAAAAAAGGACGGAGAGGGAAACAGAGCGAAAGTGGGAGAAGAAGAAGAAGAAGAAGAAGAAGAAGAAACCGTCGAAAGCTCGCTAACCTCGCGAAAAATCCCTCTAGTGCGCACTTGCTCCCCCACTCAAAAGTGGCTGTGAATTGGGAATACTTAAAGCGAAAAGAAAAGAACGCGATCCTGGCCAACTAACTGGTCGAAGAGAAGTAGGAGCACCTTTCCTCCAGCCCTGTAGCCCCGGTTCTTGTCTCGTTGTATAAGGTTTCGCATTGTCTCGCGGAAACAAAAGGCAGGTAGCTTATGCCCTGCATTCAAAAGCTCACAAAGTTCAGTCTCAAGTGCTTGTCTTTCGTCCAGGCCCTGCTGCCTTCTCCCCTGTTCCGGTGTGCTCCTCTATTCCTCAATTTTCTCTCTTTCCGTTTACGGATTTCTGTATCCATCGCCTCCTTGTCCACGGCCCGCCCCCTGACCCCGTCATCCGACCCTCGCCCTTCCCCCCCGCACTCCCGCGCGCACCTCGCCGGCCCATCCTCGCCCTTCTTAAGTCCACGCGCCTGTGTGCTCCGCGGAGTTTCCCTTATTCCCCGGTATTTCCTTTACCAAAGCACTTCGGTTACTTTCAAATTACCTTCCCCCGGCCCCTCGGCCCGCCCCCCGCGAGTCCCTCCCTTTGCCCCGTCGGAGCCGGTCTCTCACGCGTCGAGCTGCACCTCCCGGGTGAACTTCCTCGTTCTGTTCCGCGCTCGCGAACCTAATTAATTAATATTAAGTGCGCGGGAATAAGTTTCTTGACCGGGAACAGGAACACGCACCGGTTCCGAAAGGAGCGGTCCAGAAGTTTGACTTTGATCGTTTCCACCGTGCACTGATTGCCAAAGGACCGCGGCTTTCCCGCGAGTTTCCCTGAAATTGGCCTTGCGGGAGTTATGTCGCAGAATGGTGACTTCTTTTTCGCCTTCCAGAGAAAGAGAGAGAGAGAGAGAGAGAGAGAGAGAGAGGATTTCAGTCGGAAACGGCGCGGTCGCTGCGCCGCTGCGGACCCGGTGTTGCACCGTTGCTGGAACCTCGATGGAAGTTCACTAGAATCCCACCCTTTCCACAATAATTGCAGCTGGATAGCAACCGCGCAATTCCACGAGCGCGAACTATGCGATGCCAAGTTTTCGTGTAATAAGGCGGGTTCCCGAGATCCGAAGGTCCTAAGGAGAGGGATCTAGAAGGGATCCGAAAGGGATCTGGATGAGATCTCGATGGGATCTAGATGAATAGATGGATTCGGATAATATTAATTCGATTCGTATTCTAACGCTTGGCAGTCGAACTGGCGAGCCTTTATGCAAATAACACACTTTTAGAGAAGCTTTGCAATTCTGTTCCCCGCGAAGAAGAACTTAATGTTGCGGTAACTTAGGGCACGCATTGGATGCAAGAGCTGATCGAGCTTTTATTATTCGAATTGCTACGTGTAGGAATGATTTCCTTTCGATTCTAGTGACAAATTAAGATTTTGCTAGAGTTAATAATAATTATAATAATATTAATAATATAATATAATAATATAATAATAATAATAATATAATAATAATAATATAATAATAATAATAATAATAATAATATAATAATAGTAATTATAATAATTACAAGAATCGTTGACGTCTGCTAATTTGAAATGTATGTTCAATATGCTAATAGTTTAAACAATTGATAATCCGCAAGAGCTACGTTGACCCAGTACAGTAAATTCTCCCTAATTGACGCTCAGATTGCGCACAAAAATGGACAATTTGGAAAGAGAAGATACGATTATTCGAGCCATGGAGCTCGTTTTTATAGTTGTTGACAATCGGTAACTATAAAAACGAGCCGCGAGCCTCGAATAATCGTATCTCCTCTCCCTAAATTGTCAATTTATGCGTATAATCTGAGCGTCGATTAGGGAGAATTCACTGTACGTTCCATTGTCGCTATGTGAAAAGATTTCAATCGTTTTTGAAATTGTTCGATCAGCTCTCCGAACGTTCATGTTATCAAAACTGATAAAAACCAGCCAGCGAACCTCTACTATCGGAACTCATCACCTGTCTCAGCTTCCATTTCCACTGACGTATTCCGATAAGCGAGACTCCGCCGTGTTTTTAGACTGATTCGCTCGCACTACTTCCGTTCATTGTCTTCGTTCGATCGAACGTCGAAACGGCATTGTCATTGGCAATAACGCAACCAGCGAAACGGAACAGAGAAGGAAGCAACGGTTCGGAGTTCTTCCGAGTACAGTAATGTCTCCCTAACTGGCGCTCAGATAGCGCACAAAAATGGACAATTTGGGAAGAAGAGATACGATTATTCGAGCCTTGCGGCTCGTTTTTATAGTTGTTGATAATTCGAAACTATAAAAATGAACCGCATCCATTTTTTTGGACAATCTGAGCGTCAATTAGAGAGTCATTACTATTCTTCCTAATTTTCCTTCAGCTTGCAAACAATAATGGACAATTTAGGAAGATTATTCGAGCCTTGCACCTCGTATTTATAATCGTCGACAATCGGCGACTGTAATAATCGTGTTCCCTCTTCCAAAATTCTCTACTTTTGTTTAGAAACTGATGGAAAATTGGGGATAATTTATAGCCTCTCAATTGTTGAATCAAGCATTCTGAATTTATTGACAATTTATTATTGACAATTTAAATGACAATTCGTGACTATAAAAATGAATCGCAAGGATCGAATAATCGTATCTCGTCTTCCCAAATTGTCCATTTTTGTGGACAATCTGAGCGTCAATTGGAGAGACATTACTGAATTTGCTTTTGGAACTTGATAAATATGGCACAGACTCGCGTATGACGACGTTTATGCGTTCTTCTCGGTAATAATCTGTGCGTCAATTAGAGAGACGTTACTGTAAACGATCGAAGGAAAATCCGTGGGCGTAATCCCGAACACGAAATGAACGTTAACAGGTTGACGGCTAGAGCTGGATCCTCTATAACAGTCTCTGCTGCCGAGCGGGGATAACGCTATCTATTTCCAACACCATTCAAAATCCGTTGCCCTTAACATCCGCCGTACGCGCGTACGGAATTCGAGGCACGTCCTCGAGAAGATCCAACAACTCACCGAACGGTTTCTGACTGTTTCAGACCGGCGCGTACCTTACAGCATACCGTCAGATTGGAAGACGCTGTGGTTCAGCAATGTCGACGAGCTCCAGAGAGTGAACGAGGCGAACGACAACAACACCGTATCGAACGTGACGGTGCAGTTGGGCGGGACGGCGTTTTTGCATTGCAAAGTTCGCAATTTGGCAGAAAGAACGGTGTCCGACGCCGAGGTAAGAACTTTCACCTCCCCCCCCCCGGCCCCCTTCCGTGCGCGTCCTCGTCGTCGTCGTCGCAAGCTCTCGCGAACGTTCCGCACGGCCGTTCGAGAAACTGCGATTTATCACCGGCGATATTTCCGTCGGCGCAAGAAGGCTGATTAACGATTTCGCCCGGCTGTTTCAGATATCCTGGATACGGCGGCGCGACTTCCACGTCCTGACCAGCTCGTTGTTCACCTACACGAACGACGAACGGTTTCAGGTGTTGCATCCGGAGGGTTCGGACGATTGGACGCTGCAGATCAAATACGTTCAGGAGAGGGACAATGGGACGTACGAATGTCAGGTAATTCCGTTGAATTGTGCCGAGCCGTCGCTAATTGCCGCTGTAAAACCGGCGTAGGTGTGCTCGGACGGTTTCACGGTGCGTCGTAACAACGGCTATAAAAAATATCAGCTTATGATCGCCGGGAAGTTATTTCGTGCCGCTAGTCGGCCGTATCGACGCTTTATGCCTTCCCGTTTGCTTTATAGTTTTCGAATGACTACGGTGCTGTGCTGCTGCTGCGGCACTTTGCATTCGCGCCGGTCCATTTAGCGTCACGGCCACTTTTAAATGAATACAATGTATCGGATACGTGAAACTATTTGCGTACGTCGTGTGTTTTCGTTCACGCCGGATCCTCTTCGTGCGCGCGTCTGTAAATTTCGAGCTGAATTTACTATTGTCGGAGAACAAGTCGCGAGATATTATAAATGGAAAAAAGTTTGTTGTTATGTTTTATCGTTCGTGTCAAGCAGTTAGCTGCGGCGCCTTCTTCTCGGAGCGCGTATCTACACAGGCTGTCCCAAAATTGTGGTATTTCTGGGAAATGAGAGGTTCCTGAGGTTATTTGAAGTAACTTTTTCCTTAGCGGAAATGTAACCCGCGGCTTTGTTTACGAGTTATTGACGAAAAACGCTGGCCAATGAGAAGCGAGCTCGACTAACGCACGGCGGCCGAGCCAATAAACGGAACTGGGCTTCGTCCGCTCAACAGCGCCAGCGGCCGAGCCAACGGCGCCAGCGGCCGAGCCAACGGCGCCAGCGGTCGAGCGGTCGAATCCCAGTTCCGCTCATCGGCTGTGCCTCCTCGCGCGACGGCAGAGCTCGCCTCTCATTGCTCACTGTTTTTCGTTAATAACTCGTTCGCGACGCCTCCGGTTGACGCGAGGCGGTCAAGCCAACGAGCGGAAGAATTGGCTCGGTCGTCTCGCGCCAGCTGATCTCGCCTCTGATTGGTCAGCGTTTTTCGTTAATAACTCCTAAACAAAGCCAAGGGTTACTTCAAATCGCCTGAGGAACTCCTCATTTCCCGGAAGTGCCATAATTTTATTGTTTATACAAATATTATGAGATAAAAACGTAGAAAAATAGGTATTTGATGAAATGTCCATCACATTTTGATCCCAATAACAGAATATTTAAAAAATAATAATTAGCTGTTCATTGAGCAACCTGTAAACAGTCTTTTCAAAATATTAATTTATTCGAACATCGACTACGTTTCATCCGAAATTATTATTTTGATTTCAATTTTGTAGACCTTGTAAACGATATTAGAAACCCGTAAAACAGGCAACGGACAAATTTCGCATCGCGTGCATCTGTTCTATTCTGTTGCAGGTCTCAAGGAGTACAGGGATATTATCACACCTTGTCAATCTAAACATAGTAGTACCAGAAGCATTTATAGTAGGGAGCGGCGAACATCACGTCGACGTAGGATCCATTATAAATCTCGTATGCATGATAGACAAGGTAAGAACGATTTTTTAGTTGTCGTCCGTTCGCAACTTACTCTCTTATGAAAGCTTAATTAATCGTAAATACACTCGAATTCTCCAACGCGTTCTATTCATTCGTAACCGCAGCAAGCAAATAGTAAACAAAATGCATAGAACACTACCTTCTTCTATCCAAGTTTTCGGAAAAACTTCTGTTCGAAAATTCATGGAACATTCACTTGAATGTGCGATATTGAATATTAATCTACCGACGCGTCTGACCGTGGCTGGCTATTTCCCCTGAGCCCAAACACGTATCGCATGTAAATAGCTCAATCTAGGATTAACCATATGCGACGATATTTCTTGCATAAATCAGTAAGGATTTCATTTAACGCTGTATTTAAGTACGTTCCGCTGTGTTTAAGTATGTTCCCCTGGTTAGTTTCAATCATCCGGACTCTGCTGTACCAGCGGTTGAAGTTGGACGAACTTTAGGATTCGGTTTTCTTAAAATTACGAGAACAACGAAGTTCCACTTGCTCGGATTTTTCGACGGTAATCGAGCGTTAGAAAAACTTAAGCGATGACGAGGCAGAGATTGCGAGCGTTCGCGTTTTCGAAAGAAAGTTAACGAATTCATCATCGCCGAAAAAAAGGGTGTAACGAAATCATTTAAATCGCGTATTGTCCACCGGATGTAGCGCGATAAACAGAAAATTCCAAGCAGAGCGGACCAACAGCGAGGCCTAAAGAGAGGAGACGTCTCGAAAAGAGAGGATCTCGTCGAATATTCGGTGGTGGATGATCCAGTCGCCGAAATGTTTAGGCCAGCCGCGAGCAGAATAATCTCGGCCGTGGTATCCGCGTAACGGCGACATTTAAACGGAGAAGCCTGGTCGCGGCGAGCACAATAAATAACCCTCCTGCCTATTGAAGCATCTCGTAAATCGTGGGATCCGCTTCGGCCGCGAATATCTCGAACGAGAAATTCCGCGCGGCGAAAATGAGCGCGGCGGGTTCGCGAGGTCGTAGCGCGTGCGATATCTTTTATCAAACCGGCGTTTCCAGGAAGGAATTTCTATATCGCGCACAATAAATATCCCGCCCATTTACGCGTGCACACCCATTGATACATAATAATCGTGTCGCGCATACGTCGCGAAATAAAGCCACGCGCGGGGCGCGCCGAGTCCATCCGCTTAACGAAGGTACATAGAAACGCACAGCTTGCAGTTCGTGCGAACATTGAATGCGCCTTCGCGAACGTACGGCGGAAAAACCTCTGGTGAAATAGGCGCGGCTTAGTCACGAATACAAGAGTGGAAGTGCATTAAAGCGGCATTGCTGCCGCTGCAAACTCGACACTATCGGGAAACGAAAATAAAGTGTGGCGTTCCTTTTTTCTCTCTCCATCTCGCTCTCTCTTTTTCTTGCTCTCTCTTTCTTTCGCTCTCTCTCTCTCTCACTCTCTCTTTATCTCGCTCTCTCTTTCTTTCGCTCTCTCTTCCTCTCGCTCTCTCTTTCTCTCGCTCTTTCTTTCTTTCGCTCTCTCTTTCTTTCGCTCTAGCTTTCTCTCGCTCTCTCTTTATCTCGCTCTCTCTTTCTTTCGCTCTCTCTTTCTTTCGCTCTCTCTCTCTCTCTCTTTCTCTATTTCTCTCTCCCGTTCTCCCTATTTCTCTCTATTTCTCTATTTTTCTCTTTCTTCCTCTCCGCCTCTCGTTCGTTCTCTCATTCCGAGTCCCACCGTCCGCGGCTCGCCTTTTCTCTTCCTAGACGCGCCGCTGACAAAAGGGGGGCGCCTATTCCGAAAAAAATCGTCTAATGCGAGCGAAAGATGCGAGCACGCTCCACGACGCCGACACGCTCGGGAATTCAACCATCCGCCGAATTGATAGTATTACGGACAATACGGCTTCCGACGACCGCCGCGCTACGAGATGATAGGGTATTCATAAGTATATTGAATAACGCTGTAAGCTGCCCTATATAACGTGCACGCGGCACTAATAATGCCCGGACTGTCAACACAATAAGCGGCGCCGTGACGCGGCGACGCGGGGGGAAAAATACGACGATAAAACCGCGCCTGATTTTCATAGTTTAGCGGCTCGGGTGTTCTTAATTCGCGAGCAGTATTTACGGGGGTCAATGAGCGAGTTAAACCTCCGCTATATCTTTTGTTTCGTACGGAGCGCATTGTTGCTGTTTTGATGGCCGCGCCAGCCGCGCAACTTTAAATGGTGGAACGCCTGAAATCGTTGGCCTCGTGCCGCCGAAAAATGTCTCGTAAATTCTTCGACGATCGCGATCAGTTCCGGACAGATCGAACGGTAAATCCGCCTTGAAGCGCGTACCTGAAATTTGTAACGAAAAGGAAGCGATTACGAGTATGCTGCCTTACCTAGACGCTATTGTAGAGACTTTTTATAATAATTTTTTATATTTCTTTTTTATTTGTTCATTTCGTTTCGTCTTGGCTTCAAGATATTGAAAATATCTTGAAATTTAGGAATAGATTTTAGTCCTCGCTAAAATCGCAATTTGAACAGCAAGTTTTTACGCGTGACGAGTATAGTCGTCGTAATGAAAAGGTGTCGCCATTCGTTCACGACGAGTATACTCGTCAAAAGCAGTAAACTGGTTAAGAGAGAATACAGTAATTTTTTTAATGACATTTTTAAGAATCTCATGAGAACAATCTTGTTTAAATTTCATCGAATCTGTCAGAATCTGTGAAACGTATAACTGGAGACTGTGCGCGATTAAAAATGAGCCCAAATAAATCGGCATCGTTTCAGGACACGCGAGTTCATCGTTCAAATCGAACGCAATCGAAAGGACTATTCGGAGTAACGAAGGGCTAAAAATGTTAATTAATAGCCGGTACGCGGGACTATCGATAAACCCGGGCGCATACGTTACAAGAAAATGTCAAAGTAAAATTTAATTATCGAGGCGGGTGTGTCTCGTGATAAATTTGCATAATTCAGGCGCCGCTATTTCTTGTTCTTCCAGCCTGATGGCGAATGTGCATAGTTGAAGCAAGAGCCGCATAGCGGAACTGATAAATTGTTCTTGAATAATGCACGCGGAGATATGGAAACAAGGTGTACCGTAAAATTTGCCTGACGAGTATTAACTACAAAACGTGGCAATTAACAACTTCGGAGTGTATGCTTTTATATCAAAAGTTCCGGAAGATAGGAAGGATTGATGTTAGGAAACTGTATAAATTTTAAAACAACATTAATCGAAGGAAGCGCCGCTAACATCAACCTCGCGGTGAAACTGGGGGCGAGGCTTCGCGATATTTCCGAAAGACAAATCGTGGGAGCGAGGAAAACGATCTTCGGGGTCTTTCGCTGATCAAATAATTGAATCAGATTTGCGAGCGCTCCGCGGAGACGATGAAACAGATGATAAAAATTACGCGGGGATCGCTGATCCGTTTTCTCTGAAAGCAAAAGTTTTGTTTATCGAATTCAAATTATCGGCACGGAAGATTCCGCGGTTTTTCCGATAGAAACGAATGGAGCATAAAGCGGGAAAAGCGCGTCAAAGGAATTTAACCGTTACAGTCTCCCGAACTTATTCAAATTCATCGTACGGGAAATGAATTTCCATTCGGCCACAGTTTCCCGCAATTGCTTTCGAAACTGTTGATCTTGCGTAAAGATCTACCAGTCTATCCACGTCGAGATAAGTGATCCGAGCAGTCTCCAGACGTTTTCGCCTAGCATTCGGGTTGGGCAAATTGCCTGACGTAGAGCTAAACCAATAGTAATCAATAGTATAGATATCGTATCATCGTAATAAATCGATTGGCGCGCATAGTTGGCTATCTGTGCGTTCGATAACAATACGAGCAACCGACAAGTATTTGTCGCTTACGGCGCTGCGAAATGTTTTCGCGCGATTCTAACGCGACGGCCAAGAGCGGTGGTTCCATTTGTTTAAAAATTGAAAAGGCATGCAACCTTGTCGGCTGCGAGAAAATTGAGAAATGCTTTTTAGTTCTTTTTTACGGCGCCGCGTGCGTGAAATACAGTGTACAGCAACGAGAGAATCTTCTAAAATTTGGACAACCAACGAAGTTACCGCACTGAAAATGTTCGCACATTGTGGAATTTTTTAAGCTCCTCTTTCGTTCATCTTCGAATACCGAAACGTTGTAATTTATAAAAATTATCTACAATTTTTCGACATTTCAATCCGCCACGCTTTCACGAATTTTCAAAATCGATTCCTTTTTGGCGAAAAAGTGACGTCTTTAACAACCTGACTTTTTCTGATTTCACCGATTTATTAAATAATCGTGTGCCGCAATGCGAACGATCTGTTTTCGCTTGAATTGCCATACAAATTATTCATTTCTTAATTTCCAATCTTTTTTAAGTTAAATACAAGACACCATTGGAATTTTACCTACCATCTTTATTTACTATTTTAGGATTTTAAGCGATAAGAAAAGTATGGACACGTTGCTTAACGAACCCTATACAAATTTTGATTTCAATCGATTACCGATTTATAAAAATATCTACAATTCTTCGACATTTCAATCCGTCACGCTTTCACGAATTTTCAAAATCGACTCCTTTTTAGCGAAAAAGTCTTCAACAACCTGACTTTTCCTGATTTCACCGATTTATTAAGTAATCGTGTGCCGCAATGCGAACGATCTGTTTTCGCTTAAATTTGGAGGGGGGGGGGGGAATGTCAAACCCCACGGAATATTCTTCATTTCTAAAAAAAAAGAATTCAGAGCGACATAGATTCTCAGATACTATTTATATTTTATAATTTTAATGAGGAATATATTTCGTGAGATTATAAAGGAGTTTCGAAACGAACGTGACACCGTGTAGATGTTACAATTAGCACCGTTGGAACGTCCTCGAGGAAACGGCACCAATAACGGGCGCTAGGCTTAAAAGTCGAACGCGAAGAACCATTTTTCTTGGCACCGAGATATTTCAGCTGCATATTGCTGAAACGAAGTGAAGGAGAAATCTACTCACGTTCGACGGAATTCAGAACAAACGACTGACTTCGACGTCCCATTTCACTTCATCCACTCCGCGCGAATCGCGCACTCGTTCCCGTCAGAGAAATGCATTCGATTTAGACACCAGACACGCTGAAAATTGTCGCGGACCGAGACAATAACTTTTCTTCTCTTTTTTTTCTCTCTCCGCTTCGCTCGAACGGTTAACCGAGTCAAAAAAAAAAAAAGTTGCAGCGATGAAAAATGGAAAAAAGTGGATGTGCCGAGGGGGAAGAAAAAGGGCGCTACACTGTGGCTATATTGACACCGATCGATCCGCCGCGATAATTATCCTAGTTGCACTTTGGTGAACATTCCGGTACGAATGCCGGATGCGAAGGAAAAAGTATGCCGCGCCACCGTTCGTTCGTGCATCGACCTGCTGCGAAAATATATATATAATATCGAATACTCTGTTTTTCTAAAATAGCCTGCGTTTTAACCAGTTAGCTGGGGCGCCTCCTTTTCAGCGAGAAGGAGCGACGACGAGTATACCTCGTCAAACACGGAGCAAGTGTTGCTGTTAAAATATTGGATCGAAAAGACGGTTTTTATTTTATAAAATTAACAATTTTATTACTAATATTTACTTATTCACTTGACATTAACGTATTCTACGTATGTCATAAACGAAAAACGCAGGAAAAATCAAATACTTATAAAAGCGAAAAATTCAAACGGTACTCAGCAAAACAAGGAGCGTTAATCGAACGATTTTCTAATCTTATTTTTGTATCAATGTAAACACCTTCGCGTAGGATTGGCCTAAAAATATTCTAAACATCTTGAAATTTGCGAATATGTTTTTGTTTTCACTAAAATTGCAATTTAACCCTTTGCACTCGAGAAGCTATTTTAACTGTAAATATAAGATCATTCTTCTAACTTATAGTATTTCTATTTTATACGACAAAATGCACTTTATGCATACGAAATTGATTCTTGGGACTCACGCAACAGTTACACTCTTAACAATTTATTATATCTAAACTTTGTTAATATCATAATTATCTTAAAAGGTGATATAACAAATTTTAGTGGTGCCTCAGAGTCACCACTCGAGTGCAAAGGGTTAAATGACCAATTACCACTACTTTTCACGCACGACGAGTATACTCGAACACAGCTAATTGGTTAATTGGAGCTTCTAAGAATAATAGTTGAGTGCGAAAGTGCCGATCTTGATTTTTCTGGGGTCATTCAACTATTTTACAATACCTAGAATATTTACGACGTTCAACAATTGAAACTTTATTGTTCCAACGCATATTTGTACGCCTTAAATATAGATTTTTAATTCGTAATTACCCAAGAAATTGGAAGCTTATAGAAACATGCTACTTATTAAAATGCACTTATTGTACAAAAGTTGACAAATTGCAAGCAGCTGCTTAAATGGCTATTTTCAAAAACCACCCTCATCCCCTAAAGCTAGAGATTATATTCTTTCTTCTCCTAACAAGCGTTTCAAAGTGAAAAGAAAACACACTCAGTATTTTTATCGTCATTATCGCGCGTCGTTCGATAAAGAAAGCAGAGATGTAAAATTTCTCAAAATCCTGTTTTAGATCAAAATGATTCTTTACACGACAACGTCGTCCACCGCGCCGTCCTGTTTTACACAAAATAAACGATGCGAACGATTCGCCAAATTGAACGCACCGATATTCCAGATAATATTGCGCGCAGAAACGGTGATTCATCAACGCATGAGTGCGAAAAGGACAAGTTTTATAACAATCAATACCCGCTTCGTTCTTTTTCACTATACTCGATATTGTATACTCGGGTATAATCGACCGCGACAGCTTCGCGGCCGCTTTTTACGCTGCGACGTATTAACGGAGGAACAATAGAGAAAGAGCGAGCGGAAACCGCGGAATATTGTTTCAAACAGCTTCCAAATATTTTCGATGTGAAAATGATTCGTTGAAGGAATGAGAATGTGGCGGTGGCGGAAGAGGAGGAAGAGGGGGTTGTTACGAATGTTTTCAAACCAGCTGTTTATTTTTGCAAATTCCAGAGTCCAACGCCGCCGCAATACGTATTCTGGTATCACAATAACCGAATGATAAATTTCGACACCACGCGCGGCAGCGTAACCGTACAAACCGACGCCTCCTCGACTCAAAGTCGATTGTCGATCCAGCATGCGGTGGAATCGGACACAGGCAATTACACGTGCAGCGCCTCGAATACCAAGTCGGCGTCCATCTTTGTCTTTGTCACGGAAGGTAGATACTTACAGTCAGCTGTGCTCCATCTTTTCAATCGATTCAACCGATACCTTTATTAACGCGCTACTGGAAGCAATTGTCGCGTCGCTCGAGCGTTTAACGGCGCAACTCTTCCGCTGAATTTCATCCACACTTGAAGATAATTGATACTAACAGCGGACGTCTGAAAGCCATTCCGAGGCAGACAATTGATTTCTTTTTTTACGCGAATTCTTTGAGTTCGATGTTAATCTTCTTCTTCTTCTTCTTCTTCTTTTTTTTATCGGATTTAAGACGAATGGCCAACGAGTTGAACCGGCTGCTAAAAGATTAGAATTTCGGTGATTTTTATCGGTGATAGCCAACACTTGTCGCCGAACTTCGTATTTCGAATAAATGAGATTATTTAAATGAGTTGATACGTATGAAAAAAATGCATGTTTAAACGCAGTGAGTAAATTGAGTAGTTAATGGTTGACGTTAATACGTGCGATTTGTTCGATGCGATCAATGTTTCCAGTAACGTACGTACGGTGAATATACAGGGTGAGTCAGAAGTTAGTCCCCACGATTTTTCAGCCCCTTCCGATGGACCGACGAAAAAAGTTAATTGGTATTTAACCGAGAAGAAATTGCATATGTTCCAATTTAAAACCAAATTAATTTTCGATAAAAACACAAGGTCGCCGTTACATTTTTTAATGAAACTAGGTTCAACGATCTGCTGCTACACGATGACCTTCGGATGACATTGATGGAAAAATTGCCACGAATCGATTGCCACAATATTTGAAATAATTTTACGTAACAGCAATTTTTCCTTCGTGGCAATTTTTCCTTCAATGTCATCCGAAGGTCATCGTGCAGCAGGTCGTCGAATACGTGCCGACTTCGGCCACAACATTATGAAGTTAAAATTACCTGGTCTCATTAAAAAATATAACGGTGACCTTGTTCCTTTATCGAGGATGAATTTGTTTTTAATTTTAAACAATTGCAATTTCTTGTCAAGGTTATATGAGCCGTTTATTTTGAAAGTGGCATAAGTCACTTTGTTTTTAAGTCGACATATTTAAGGATTTGCGTTTTAACACGTTTAAAAATATGGATGCTAATTTTCGAGAAGATTTACTTGAATTTGTTATCTCAGGATACTGATATTTTTCTCAGTATAAATAATTTCGTACAAACATTAAAAAATCACCACTTTTCATAAAGTGACTTATGCCACTTTCAAAATAAACGGCTCATATACCAATTAACTTTCATAGGAAACACTTTTTGTCGGACCATCGGAGGAGTCTGAAAAATCGCGGGGACTAATTTGCGACTCACCCTGTATGTATATGCAACAAAAACGAATCACGCGTTGATTTTTTACCAAAATCTTTGCGTAGAAAGGAACAAAGTATAACTCGATGATCGAGACTAATCGGATATTTTGGAATGTCGCCGAGTGTTTGAAGCTTCTGAGGAATAATCGGATGTATGAAATCTGTTTCAGGTGACAAAATGGCAGCCATTCAGCGCCGCAAGACATCGGCCGCGGAGAAAAATTTCTGTGAATTGCTAGTACTAATTGTCACCATTGCGATAGACGCCGTTTTGACGCGATAAGCGTTTCTCTTCGATATGTCCATAATTATTATTATACCGTTACTTCCGTTTGTGATAGATAGGCTACTATTCTGCGATTTNTTAAGTCGACATATTTAAGGATTTGCGTTTTAACACGTTTAAAAATATGGATGCTAATTTTCGAGAAGATTTACTTGAATTTGTTATCTCAGGATACTGATATTTTTCTCAGTATAAATAATTTCGTACAAACATTAAAAAATCACCACTTTTCATAAAGTGACTTATGCCACTTTCAAAATAAACGGCTCATATACCAATTAACTTTCATAGGAAACACTTTTTGTCGGACCATCGGAGGAGTCTGAAAAATCGCGGGGACTAATTTGCGACTCACCCTGTATGTATATGCAACAAAAACGAATCACGCGTTGATTTTTTACCAAAATCTTTGCGTAGAAAGGAACAAAGTATAACTCGATGATCGAGACTAATCGGATATTTTGGAATGTCGCCGAGTGTTTGAAGCTTCTGAGGAATAATCGGATGTATGAAATCTGTTTCAGGTGACAAAATGGCAGCCATTCAGCGCCGCAAGACATCGGCCGCGGAGAAAAATTTCTGTGAATTGCTAGTACTAATTGTCACCATTGCGATAGACGCCGTTTTGACGCGATAAGCGTTTCTCTTCGATATGTCCATAATTATTATTATACCGTTACTTCCGTTTGTGATAGATAGGCTACTATTCTGCGATTTTATCCCTCTATTCACTCTCCTTCTTTCCCTTCATGCTGGACATCTTCATATCATGCGACATCTTGTTTCCCCGTTCCTTTCGAACATTCCTTTCCACCTTATAGTTTACTCTTAGCGTTACCTTGCAGCATCGTCGCGAATCATCCCTCATCAACCTCCGTCTCGATTCTCCCATTCTCGCCGAGAACATCCACATCCGCGTCGTCCTCTCTTCTGCGTCTATCGTCGTCATCCCTCGTCTGGTTTTTCCTCTGTTCTTGAAATATCATCGCCGAGGTTGCCGCCGGCCGAAATGATTTCGATATAATATTACATAAAGAAAAAAAGAAAAGAAAACAAATACACACGCACGAGATTCTCATGGTAGAACACCGCGTGCCCCGCGACTCGCGTGCGACCGAAATCGTTGGAACGCTCGCGGATAATTGCGATTTCTCTCTTTCTCTCCTCTCCCCTCCTCTCCCGTCCCGTCCCACCCTCGCGGCCTCCAACTTACCCTCGATCACTCGGTTTTACGGCCGTTTTCTCCTTCTTGCGCGGCGCACGTCGGAACGGTTCGCGAGCAATGAAAATTATCTGACCGCGGAGATCGTTTCGGTAATCGTAAAAATAATTGTCCTTCCTTTCTTTCGTTTCTCTTTCTTTTTTTCCTGTTTTTCTTTTTCTTTCTTTTTTTTTGCTTCCTTTCGCCACGCAAGGGAAACACGGCTTCGCCGCGGTAATCGTTATACGCGACCGAGTTACGCCGGTCGTAACGAGAAGGAAGCACGATTTTCAACGGCGCCGGTAAATAAACATAGTTCGCCGTTGTTGGTTAACAGGACCTGCGAGTATTTTTCGCCGTACCGATCGGACGTGCGCGGCGCAAATTATTTGCCCGTGGGACGAAAACCGCGTTCACAATTAACGGCGAAACGAGCGAAAACGGAAGAGGCTGCGCGGCGTTTAGCGTATGTTTATTTGCCGGATACGCGGCGCGAGATACGTTTAACGATCTCCTGTCGTCCAACGCCGTTGTTGTTATCGTATCTTTCGTTCCGGAGAAAGCGCCAGTTCGCCCGGCAATTATCTCATCAGACTCTAAACGGTTTTTACATTTTCGTCAAACACGTTCCGTGCCGGGCTGTTTTCGATCGACTCTTCGCGCTGGCCATTTGATATTTTACTAGAACTTTGTTGACGCTAGATTTACGGAGCACGAAGAACAGCTGTTTTGTGTCAGCTTGTAAAAGTAACAATAAGATAGTTACGTTTGTCCTGATTTTTAACAAGCGTTATTGTAACACTTGCACATGTGAGTAACGTTTAAATAAAATAAAATTACATACGAAACATTAGATAGTGAGAAGATTAATTAGCAACTGAGAACGTTGAGCACGAGAAACAGCTGTTTTATATCAATTTACAAAAGTAATAATAAGACATTTATTCTGATTTTTAACAAGTGTTATCGTAACATTTTTGCCGTGAGTAACGTATAAATTGAATAAATATATCTTTACGATACGGATAATCGTAAATTAAAAAATTAGTGACCCGCCATTACGACGGGTTCCGTAAATCTGGCGTTAATTACCGCATATTTATCGTATATTTATCGTATCGTGATTATCAATTATCGTACATACAACAATGAAAAAAAACTCATTATGGCCCATTCTTGCGGCGAAAATTAATCCTTCGGTTCTAAATTTGTTACGAACTATTTTCTCAACGCATTAAATAAACATGCAAGCGCGCGTGGTACACGTGGCACGGAACGCGTTAAATACAATCGATCGTTGCATTCCATTGGTTATTTTTTCCTATATTAGGAAATTCATGTAGAACAAACCACCGTATCCAAAAACCAAAAAAAAAAAGAAAAAATGAGAAACCCTTTCGTGTCGAGAAATTCATTCCTGCCTGTCTGACACATCGCGCGTACGACCGCCGTTGTCGACAGAGCGTATTTGCCAATCGAGGCACACGCATGAGAAATCTGCCGATGTCCGTGGGCCGAGTGTGCGGTTCGTTTCGCTCGAGGCGCTCGTCGTTGGAATCGGAATGCTCACGGACGCGAGATCGGCGAATCTTTCGACCCGTTAACGGGCTCTATCGAGTTATTACACCTTCGAAAATGAACCGGCGGCAAATCGTTTCTCGGCCGAAGTTTCGCTGAACGAACGGTTAAACCCCCATCCCCCCTCCGTCCCCCCACCCATCACCGCGAAACATCTGTCCGTTGTCAATTCGGTTTCACATTTCTCCGGCCGATTTGTTCTCTTCGCAACTTCACAACGAGTTCGCGGGATCCGTTCAGCCGTCGTCAGAACGAGTAACAATTCCATGTCGTGGCAGTTGGCCGCGAGTTTCGCGGCGATCACGGTACCGATCGGCGCGGAAACGCGGCGGAGCGGAGCGACGGAGCCGAGCCGAACGCGAGAGAAAGAGAAAGAGAGAGAGAGAGAGAGAGAGAGAGGAGAGCGTGCGTGAACTTTCGAAACTTTCGAAATTGATACCGCGTTGCCGGGCATCGCGTCGAATTTCCGGGAACCCGGGCCCCACCCCTCCGATCACCCTCGGACCAGCGACCTTCGCCCTCCCGCCGGTTTTCGTATAATTAGTCGCCACTTACCCCGTTTCAATTTCGTTTCATCGACGATCGCGTTACCGAGCACGCGACGGGGATGCCGCCGATCGATACCGACCGCGTGCACACCTCGATTCGCGGGATTCGCGCCGAAAAAAGAAAGAAAGAAAAAAACGAAGCGATAACACTGCGTCGCGAAAGTTCGCGCGCGCGCCTGTCCCTCGGTTCGCGCCCGACGCTTTCCCGCTTTTTTTCCGTTCGACGGGAAATATTTTTTCTGCCCGCCTATCGTGTACACTGCCAGCAAAAACTCTTGTTTCAACACGTCCGGCAACGGCGTTTATTCGGCCGACGGTTTTTCACACGGAGCGCCGCGACGCACTTCGCCGCGCGAAATTGTACGACGGAAAGGTGTTAAATTACGAACGTCGCGTGACGACGAACTCGATTTTACCTCCGACGAGGCGCGAGAACCGATAACGGACGATGTTTAACGTCGGTCGCGTTCGAGCAATCGTTGTGACGCTTCCTCGATTCTTCGGTCTTCTCGAATGTAAACGAATTCTTTCGGATACAGACGAATTCTCCACGATTGTCCTTTCAGCGTGCAAAGAAAAATGGACAATTCGGGAAGAGGAGATACGATTATTCGAGCGTTGTGCTTCGTTTTTATGGTCGATGACAATCGGTGGCTATAAAAACGAGCCGCGAGGGTCGAACAATCGTGTCCCCTCTTCAAAAATTCTACATTTTTGTCCGCAAGCCGAGGGACAATTGGAAATAGTTTATTGTACAGTGAATTCTGCCTGATTTTCCTTGAGCTTGGAAACAAAAAATAGACAATTTGGGAAGAGAAGATACGATCAACCCTTTGGAGTCGGATTTATTTTTCGTCAATTTGCGTTGTATCTGAATATATATTATTCAGAATTGTATTATCAAATAACAAGAAATATTAGTTTTATTAGCATAGGTTATCCCTTTTAGACGCCAAGGGCTGGAACGTACGAGTCCCGTTGGTTAAACAATTTGGGAAGAGAAGATACGATCAACCCTTTGGAGTCGGACTTATTTTTCGTCAATTTGCGTTGTATCTGAATATATATTATTCAGATTGTATTATATTATTCAGAGTTGTATTATCTAATAACAAGAAATATTGCTTTTATTAGCGTAGGTTATCCCATTTAGACGCCAAGGGCTGGAACGTACGAGTCCCGTTGGTTAAACAATTTGGGAAGAGAAGATACGATCACACAACCCTTTGGAGTAGGATTTATTTTTCGTCAATTTGCGTTATATATCTGAATATATATTATTCAGATTATATTATATTATTCAGAATTGTATTATCTAATAACAAGAAATATTGCTTTTATTAGCGTAGGTTATCCCTTTTAGACGCCAAGGGCTAGAACATACGTGTCCCATTAATTCCATGTAAACAAATACGTGCGTGGTATGCGTTCTAAGACCGATATTTTCGTATATTGTGGAAAAACGGGATTCATTTCTCCCAATTGGCGTACGAAATACACAGATGGGTCACATATGTCCCGATAGACTCCAAAGGGTTAACCCTTTGTCTTACGATTCAATTTCCAATTGCGCGTGCCATAAACAAGGTCGGTCACGCGTCGGGCCATTCACGGTTTGGCTGAGCTTTCGAAGTTGTGCAATTCGCAGACGTCTTATGATTTGTATATAAATGTATATAGTACAATTAACTCTTTGCACTCGAAGCCATTTTAACTGTAAATCTAAATTAACTTTTCTGACTTATATTATTTCCATTTTATATGACAAAGCATATTTCATGCATATGAAATCGAGTTTTGTGACTCATACAACAGTCAGACTTTTAACGATCTTTTTGTATCTAAGCTTTGATAATATAAACATTATTTTGGAACGTGGTGTAATAATTTTAATGGTGCCTCAGAGTCGCCACTCGAGTGCAAAGAGTTAACTTTGCGTTGCAAGATGTCCGATAACTAATTACGATCAATTGATTAACGAACAAGCAAGATTTATTGTCTCAAAGCGGATGATATATTAATATATTAATAACATTTTTAGTTTAATTTCTGAGCGAACGTCGTGCGTGTAGCACGATCAGCTCTGCAACGTCTCCGAGACGTTTCATTTACATTTAGCACGGTCAAATGTAACGTCTCTGACACGTTTTGCTGACGTTTAGCGCGGTCAGCATATTACGTCTCTGACACGACTTGTTTACGTCTGGCCCGACTTACCACCTCTCTGACACGACATTGTAACCGCTGAGATTTTAATCGAATCTTGCGGCTCGTTTTTATAGTTGTTGACAATCGGTGACTATAAAAACGAGCCGCGAGGCTCGAATGATCTCTTAACCCTTTGCAGTCGAAGCTATTTGAATTCGAAATCTAAAACATGATCTCTGATCAGTATTTCTATTTTATATAATTTATTGCAATTTATGCATACGAAATTGAGTCTGTTGGCAAGTACAATACAATTTTAATAGTTTTTTTTTTAAATATAAACGAGTCTGATGCTTTTAGAATGATTTTGAAAAATAGTATACCAATATTTAGTGGCGCCTCAGAGTCGCCATTCGAGTGCAATGGGTTAAAATTCCCTTCCTAAATTGTTCATTCTTGTTTCCGAGCTGATCGTCGATTTGGGGAGAATTCACAGTAAACGGTGCGTTTCTTTCTTGCACCGATTTATTTGTCTACAAAATGGCGCGGAATCGCGGCGTGAATCGAGGACAGGTGTATCCGGTGTACCAACAAGTAATCGATTGTGTATTCGACAGCACGGCGGTAAGCAGTCAGTCAGAAAAGTGTGAGCTAGAGAAATGATCGCGTTAAACGATGTCCAAAGTCTTTCGTTTCGCGGATGCGAGAAGCGTCGCGGATTATCGTCGACGTTGACTGCCGGAACGTTTCCAGAAAATCAAAACGATCTAGTCGGCGCAAACCGAGGCTCGAGAGGCTTTCGAAACTGGTCGCGCTGATTTAACATCGAGCTCTTCTGTAAATCAAAAGCATTTATCTCGGACGT